CTTATGGTGTTGGTCTTCAAAATTTGCCCTTGAACAAACAGTTCAAAGATGAGTGATGTCAGTTAAAACGGTTTGCTTTTGTACTTTGGGAACACTGTGTTTTTGTTGTAGACTTCTACATAAAAGTGTTTTTTACTATAAACTAACTTACATATGAATAACTTTTAAGTTGAAAATGAAAGATTTGTTTAAAAATAACATGGCATTTTAATAATTTTAAATATCTGTCAAAACATCCTAACACAATTCTTGAAACAAATAATTAAAAGAATAGAGAAAAAAACCCCTTCATTTCCACTAATCTCTTTCCTCCCAGACAACAGAGACAAATCAACTGCTTAATGACCATGAAAAAATGGATGTGAAAACAAAATGCAGCACACATTTGTTACACAATTTTTGGTGAATAAACAGTGGGTCTTTGAGCTCTAGAGCCTGCCATTGCTTATTTTTTGTTGAACCTACTTCATCCGTCTCAAATATTTTAATTTTGTTTTTAAAAAACATTTAATCTCAGACAAACATAACTCAGCTGAATTGAACTAATCTGGGAATTGTTGTTGCCTTTGATCAGCCATTCCTCAGTAGTCACAGCAAGCAGCTTGCAGAACAAGGTAATTCCATTTCAGTGTATTTAGATAATTAAAAAAATCCCTTTTTTTTTTCTGTTTCAGAACATAAAAACCATCCACAAAAAAAACACCAAAACCAAACCTTTAAAATGGTACTGTTGGTTGGGCTTACACATGAAGATTACTCCAGTTTTATTAAGTATTAATCTCTGTGTTAAATACACCTCCTGGATTTAAAGAGAAAAACGAATAGGATAATAGATCAAGTGTTAGTACTATATGCATCTGTCGGTCTCTACAAGATAATCTTGGGTGTATGCTTCATAAACTGTGTTGTGCTAAAATGGTAAATATAAAGTTGGCCTCCTGTCTGCTACGCTGAATTTGAGTAAATTTTGTCTGTTAAAAAGTATTGCTCATTTTTAATGTGACAGTTATAAGCTTCACCAGGGGACCAGCCTCATTATGCCAGAAACAACCAAATACAGTCTACAAACGATGCTATGAAGTAGTGTAATTCGACAAGGAAATACAAGGGCATAAAGAAGTAAATAGGAAAAAGGTCACAGACAGGGTGACTAATATGAATATGTTTGTGAAAATTAGAAGCCTCTGTGAGTCTTTCTCTTTTTATTTTTATTTACTCGGTCTTTGACAGTCAATGGGATGCAATGGAAGTGCAGAGCCTAGCTGACATAGAAGCTGCTTGCAGAAATATGCAGCAGCTGCACACACCTCATCAGAGCTGAGGCTAGTTAGCAGGCTTCTTCAAAGGGTGATGTGTTGTCAAAACCATTAAAATTAGTTGTTAGACCAATGAGTGAACAACATCAAATAAACTTTTCAGCTCATTATCATTATATGATAATGTGTTTCAGGTTCAATTCTAACATATTTTTATGCCTGGCAAAATCTAGTATCTAGAGAATTCCAAACTGATCTGTACTTTTGCATTGTGTTTATATGTGAAAGAAGCTGTAGCCAACTAGCAATCATTGTGGTGAATTTCCAGGCAAGAAATGTCCTTTTTCTTCTTATGTAAACCCATAGGTTCAGCTAGAGCCTGGAGCTTCACATTTCATTTCCTTGTAAATGACTGCTGCTTTAAACCATTGGCTATGGTTTCTCTATACAATAATACATAGTTCACAATTAAATGCCAAGCTATAATTGAATCAAAGGATTCTGCTGATGCCTCGACTCATAAGGATGCAGCTCAAGAGCTTTATAAAGGGCAGTAGAATCTGAGTCTAAGTTACAGCCCCCAGTATTCAGTTCGGGATCGTGCATTATGATGCGTAATAGGGCTAAAAGGATTATTATAATACTGCAGTAAATAAAAAGAAAATGTATCAAACAGCAGAAATCAAATGCTTGCAGAGGTTTTCAGTTTATGATGTGGAAGGCTAGAGATTATACTGCCTGAGAAATGAGGCTAGAGGAAAAGTATTTCATAAACATATTTATGTTCTTAAAAAAATATTCCAAAGTTATTCTTAAATAAAGGAAAATACACGTTTCACAGATTAACCCACAGTAAATTCATAATGTTCTGTTACATGACTAGAACTGGTTGATTCCAGATGCCACGTAGCTATTTTCTGACATAATAGGGCAATAATTACATTATAGAAGGAAAATATTAATTCACATATCTTTTATGATTTTTTGAATAAACTTACAAACATTAAAAAGTTAAATTTAGTTAACCAGTGTGGGAATAATACAAAATACTTGTGTTTTCTCTTATACAAAAAATGTTTTATCACAAAAATGCCTCACAGATCCAGTTCACAAAAACAACATTCTTTCATATGTGAAAGAAATCTGACTAGTAAAGCATACATTTTTAGGCTAAAAAGAAGATTATTTTTGACATAAATACTTTGTTTTAGTTTAGAATGTGTTTTCTTAAAAATGAGTAGTGATATATCCTTTACACTTTTTTTCCATACTCTCTGCTAATCTGTGGTGCATATGTTGGGCTGTAAGCAAGGACTTTAATCAATATTTTGTTATGTAGACATTTTATCCATCCGATGTTTACCCTGGTTCCTCACATCAGGCTGTAATTAGTCCAGCAATTCCCTAATGTGGCCACGGTGACTTTGCACAACTGGTGATGCTATGGAAGCTCATCGTATGCCTTCTAAAGTGTTTCTGCATTTTCCTCTAGCCCTCCCCAGTGTAACAGATAAAATAGTGGACTATAAAGTCCTTTGGTCATTGGTCAGACCTCAGGATGGAATTTCTCTGTGGATTTAGGGTATAGTTCTTTACAGATCTTACTGGAATTGCAAGTATTCAAGAGATAATTAGACCTTTTGAACTTTCTCCGATGTATGTTTACAGAACAGCTCCTTGGGAAAAAAAAAGAGTGGGGAAAGGTTGGTAGCTTGTTTAGTGATAACTATCAATCTAACATCTACATGGGAAATTACAGATGTGCAAAGTTTTAGCACGCAGAGGATAATGGTTTTTAGCACGAAATTCAGCAAAGTCTGCTTTATACTGGCATTTTTCTCCTGCAAAGCATTTAATACTGAATTGAATTACAATTCTAAATAACACATAATATAGTCATTATAAATTTTCTTGGATTCTCATTCTCAAAGTCCAACAGAGATGATAGAACAATATTTCCAAAACTACCTTTTTAATAAGTATAGTAAATACTTAAGAATAATTAAAAGTCATGCAATAAACTCACAGTATTGATACAGACAAAAATACCTGATGAATCCACAGATTAAATATTCGTACAAAACACTACCGAGGTGCAGGATGCTAAATCAAGGCATTACAGATACGACCATTGCTTCAAGGGTCATGGGGGATTAAGGAAAGTTAACAATTTTTCTGGTTTGTTTGTTTGTTTTTTTCATTTTCATTTGAGTATTATTGTTTCCCTCTGGCAATATCATGAAGGGAAAGAACAAAGAAACACATTCTAGGTGAAAAATTTATGTTAATAAATGTAGGAAACATACTAGATTGGGCCAGTTAAGGATTTATGGAGGGGAAGCAGAAAAAGTTACAGGTAGTTGTAGCCCCTTCAATAAAAATAACTAGAGAAAAGACAAGGGTGAGGGAGGATGATATTTACTATTAAAAGAGGATTAGGTAGTCCTTACTGCTATCTTGGCAACTTTAGGAAACACTAACAAAGACTGCACATTTAGAAAGGTGATAAATAAAGATGAGAGATTGTGGGAAGAGATGGCTTTTGGAGAAACTCAGAATAAAATGGAGTATGTGGTATATAAATATCTGAGGCTCTGAATTAGGAAAATGTTGTGCTTTAATTATACAGGAGAGAGACTTGCACCAATAGAAAAATGTTATCAAAGTAGGTCTTTGATGCAGTATATTGGCCAAAAATGTTCCTGTCTGCATTGTAATGCAAAGAATGTACATTGCATAGGATTATGTGTCACAGATAGGAATGCTGGTTTTGTTTGTTGTTGCGTATTTGGATAGTTTGTAAAGTATCTCGGAACATTTTGTAACAAATACAAAATAGAAAAAGAAAAGGCAAAAAATTTCTAAAGAGCTCCATTCCTAATTAGATATTTACATTAAACAATCAGTTTTCCAAAAATGTTGTAACCTGGCAAGTCATACTGAGAACAATTTGAAAATCTACACATTTCTCCAAAGTGCCTAATAAAAATCCGAGAACCTTTGATACCCTTGCACAAATTTTTTTTAATGTTATGTAATTTTAAGAATTGAAGATAAAAGAACTCTCATGCCAGTAATCTTTCATGCGTTTCTGCAATACATGGATTGCCAACTAAACCAGTGACCCAATTTAAAATTGTTTTCATGAGTTTGCACAGGTTTACACATGAAGAATCTACACCAAAATCTTTTTCTGTTGAGCTGATCACTGAAACAAAACACTGATGAAACAGTACAGTGAACATACCCTTGAAGTACTCTGTCTCTCTTACAGAGATAGTAACCTAACATAGTAATGGTTTAAGGAAATTGTAAAGCAAATTTTTTAAACCTCTTTATAATGGTTTAATGAAGTATTAATCCAAATTAATCCAAATTTCTCTGTCTTAGTTTGTCAGATTCATCCAAGTAATTTTTTTACCATCATCACTTAGCTGTCTCTCTGTACCACAGATATGCTGAAGGATGGGGTAGCTTTTTCCTTGACTCTTAGATTAAAAACAATTCTTATCTATATTCATTTAACTAACATTTTTTTCAATGTGAATGAAACATAGTGATTCAAATATTTGCAAAAAGCAAATAAGTTTTAATAATTGAGCAAGTTAAACCAAAATGACTTTAACGTAGACAAATGCAGAACACTCCTTGTGATGTTTAACTTGCTGATGAATAAACTATCTTCACATTGTTTGTGTTACGTTGGGCAGAGCTGTAGAAGATTTTTCTACTGGCTGAACTTACCTCCCCTTCTGTGGACTGTAAGTGCAGTTCTTTCCTACAGGTAGCCTTTAAGTCTCCTGCAGCTGCATTGACTTGCACTCCCCTGGGTGCTTCCATCACCAAGGATCTAGTAGGAGATTCAAGTCTGAAAGACAAAAACTACCCCTGAGAAAAAATGCACTGAATCAAACCACCAGAAACCACCCAGACCCAAAACTCACAATGCATGTAGATATAAACTCATTTTGAAAAGTAAAGACGTAAAAATGAGTTATACTTGTGATTCTCTCACTACTCTTTATGGGCCAGAGAAAGAAAAAAAATCAAATATGTGTTTAGATCTACTCATATTTAAGACAGCATTTAAGCATGTGCTGATATAAGCTTGTTTGCTTAGTGATGCTTTCTGGCATTAGTACCTAATCTAGTTCACTGTATTTCTAGTTGACTGTATTAATACTGAAATATAGGTCCTTAAGAATTTACAAGTCTCTGTGAGTGCTTCTGTAATGACAGATTAATAATTAAAGTTTACTTAGTAGACAAATGTTCAACTAAATAAAAAGAAAACAAAACACTTAAAAAGTTTTAAATAATGATGTAAAACTGATTATAATAACTTTGCTTTCACAGGTTCATTCATATTTCAGGTAGGTGTAGCAGCGTTACGTATGAGAAGAGAAGAAAAGGAAATCTGTTATATCTATATTATTGTGGGGTTTTTGTATGCTTTTTCTGTTCTGCAAAATACGCATTATGCTCTTTAACTCTGTTATAATAGGGTAAGACACATATCATTGGGTCTTGGTGGTGTTCCTCAAAGCAAATATTGTTCTACTGTCATTCTGTTTCTCTCTACCCTATACTCAATATCCTCCACCAACCTTAATGCAGAACTATGATACTCTCTTAGCTATGTTATTGCACAGTATTATACAGGTTTCTCTTGAAAGGGAAGTACTAATGCAAGGATTTTGTAGAAGTCATGCTCACACACTGAATAGGAAAGATGATGGGATGAAAACTGTACTGAACTAGGAAACAAAAAATTTGGATTCCAGTTGTGTTCAGCTGTAGACTTACTGCATAGCTCTGATAAGAGGGAGACAAATCTTTTAATCTTTTTATATCCCGATAATATAATGACAGAACACAGTTCTACTTTACCTGAACAAAGGCTTTTTCTAAGATGAAATATATCTCAATTTTAGAAATGTCTAGAATGAGTAGCTTGAAGAACATACTGTATTTCCCTCTTCAACAATTTGTATTTTGAGTGTTAGGTCACATCCATCCAAAAATATAATAAGGTACTAGATGTATGTCCTGGTTTCAGTTGGGATAGAGTTAATTTTCTTCATAGAAGCTAGTATGAAACTATGTTTTGGATTTGGGGTGAGAAAATGTTGATAATGTACTGATGTTTTGGGTTGTTGCTAAGCAGTCAAGGGCTGTCTGGCTTTTCATGCAGGTCTGACAGTGAGAAGGCTGGGGGTGCACGGGAAGCTGGGAGAGAAGAAGGGGAGGAAGAGGAGACATTCAGAGTGATGGCGTCTGTCTTCCCAAGAAACCATTACGCGTGATGGAGCCCTGCTTCCCTGGAGATGGCTGAACCCCTGCCTGCCCATGGGGAGCGGTGAATGAATTCCTTCTTTTGCTCTGCTTGAGTGTGCAGCTTTTGCTTCACCTATTAAACTGTCTTTATCTCAAACCATGATTTATCTTACTTTTATTTTTCCGATTCACTCCCCCGTCCCACTGTAGGGGAGTGAGTGAGTCGCTCAGTGGTGCTTAGCTGGTGGCTGGGGTTAAACCACAACAGTATATAAAGGAAAGACTAGTTTGACAAAAAATTTACTGCAGAAAAGCCAAATGGAAGATCCGTCAAGCAATGGAACAAGAGAATTTCAGTGTATTTCAACTATTGAATTTTTTAAGTGTACAGAATAGTGATGGATTATAATTTTGAAACCAAAATGTCACATTTGCATGCAAAGTAAGTCACCGAAATGGTGTCTCTGAAATATTTCTGTTTGTCACATGCCACTGACGCTCTACAGGGAAAGGGAAAAAAAAAAGAAAAGAAAGCAATTATTTGGCAACACAAATTTAAACTATTAAAAGCAGGTGTCCAGATAGAGAAAAACACTACTTGTGGCTACCTATATAAAAAAAGCATACATGGGATACATATAGATAGAAGCCGTAGAAAAATCTATATTTCTGTTACTGCTTAGCCGTTTTCTTTCATTTTTTTGATGCTCTATAGGGAGAAGTTAATAGAAAATTCTGTAGTTCTTTGTACCAGGGAAGAATCTAAATATCATGAATTATTTAATCATGTACCTCAGTGTTTTGCAGGTGGTGGTTTGTGAACTTCTGATGGCTATAAGACAGGAGAAAAAGAGATTCCAAAAACTTTTAGAAACCATATAGAGTTTACAAATTAGGTTTTCAAAAGTACTCCGTTGCCTTAATGAGGTTTTACCTTGAATTTAAAAGAAAACTGAATTGTATAAATGTTAAATTAATGGATACTTCCATTCCATATTTTTCAGCAGGATAACCTACTTTCCAGGAATATTAACATTTCTCAGTGGTTTCAGTTGCCATTTCATAATCATGAAAGCAGAGTGCTCTTAACTACATTTATTGCATTGAATTGATGAGTATTAGCACATATTTCTGTTTTCATAACATCAAAACCACTTTCAGACCTGACTGAAATTTTTTAGGAGATGGGCAATAAAAATCTGTTTAGGGATATCTTTCAAGAAACTATGTTTTTGTTTGAAGAATAAACTTTTTCCAAAACACATGACTTTATAGTTCAAGATTGTTTTGTGTAGGTTCATCACTGTTTTTAATGAACTACAATAATATAAATTACTTCCATTTTACCTAAAATGAAGACATTTAGGCAATTAATTTCTGAACTTGAGAAGAAGTTGTTAATATCATCCCTCTCCACACTGTGGTGAAGAAATTTCTTTTTTAAACAATAGATTTTTTTAGCAGTTTCCTGAAATCAAATAATGATGTGGTAGAAATGTCAACGAATTGCTGATGATCAGCAGAGTAGTTTTTAAAACGTCACCCATTTGTTAGTAAAATGGAATGTTTAAATCTGTTTTACAGTTACTAATTTACTTTTCTTATTATTACTCTTTGGATAATCTACAACTGAAAAGTGACTTAGCTGCACAATCTGCAGCGTGCTACTGGAAATGCAAAAGTCTATACACATAGAGATATTATTTCCTTAATGTTTTGAAATAAATTATGTTTGATATGTAGCTGCTTTATAATATTTTTTTTCATATTTCTGAAAGCTTTAATCTCTGCTATAAACTTATTGTAACACTCCACATTATAATACTCATTCCTCCAAGGAAAAGTGCATTATTACAACAGCATATCAAGAATTTGCTTTCCTTTCAGATTTACTGATGGCCTGTCACAGTGGCATTTACATCTATAAGTGAATCCTATTCATATAATTTAATTTTTCTTTCCCAAACAACAAACAGCTATGATGGAGAAGGTAACCACTGCTATTATTAGATTGAAACTACAACACTGTAAGAAAGACAATGAAGCTTTAAAAAAGGTTTTTAAATAATATAACGTGTCAATTTGCTATATGTGGTGTAGACAGATGATCTATCCAGAGCAGAGAAAGGCTTTTTTCTTTTTAATTATCGATGGCTAATTTATGAAAAAAGATACATTTCAGAGGATCAAAGCTATATGAATTTGAGTTGAATTCATTAAAGAATTATTGCTAAGAAAGGAAACTTCAAATATCTTGGATATGTTTCTTTGAAGGTATTAAAATATTTCTCATCAGAAATGCAGAAACATTTATTTTTCATTTGACATTTTCTGTTTAGAAGCTGACCTAGATTGTATTAGAGAAAAATAATTTAAAAAATGAACCAAAAGCTTTCATTTTGGTTTTTAAGAAATATTTTAGATTAACCTCTCACATATCCCTCACACTCACATGGGATATAATTTATCTATGTTAATTTTGCTCCCTTGGCTAGCAGAAGGTATTTCTTAAAATAGAAGGAAATAGAAGATTCCTCTGTGCAGATGTGAATAATTTATTTGTTTTATGTCTATTTAAGCAGTGGATCTAACCCATGCTACTTAGTCAAACGACTGATATGAACTTCTACCAATTTGGAATTTGTTGTCAAAACAGGGGATTAAAAAATATGCTGTCAACTAGAGATTGCACTTGCAAAACAGATACTCATTTCCCCTTTACTGGCATCTTTACACCTGGGGGTCAAGAACTACTTCAATACTGCCAAGTATTTAACTTTTATATATGATGGTCTTGCCAACATATGTTGTTGTGGGTTTTTTTCAGTTAGCATAGGAATTCTATTATTAAAAAAATAAAATTTTTGCAAATATAGACCAAATGGAAAATCTATACATTGACTTGGTAACCTTTTTGTAGATTCCTATAGATTAAGATGATTGTGATATTAATCTTGCTGCCTGTAGGTAAAGCGTTGTGGCAGACTGGAGTTGCAGAAGTAGCATATACAGAGGAGAGGGGAAGACAAATGGATGTGCCAAGCCCCTCTCTCTCTCTCTTCCTACTTCTTACTTGTGAACAAGCACTCCCAATCCCAAAACCCCATAGAACGTAGGACCTTCCTCTTCCACAAGCAAAACTATTTTCTTCCAAATTACAATTAAGACTTTTTTTAAAATAATTTTGAAAATATTGTTTTCTAGAAAACTCCAACAGTTTTAAAGATATATTCTTGCCATTTTTATTATTATGAAAAGAACAGTTATCTGCCCCGATGTTCAAGCAAACTGATTTCAGGAGTCCTCCAGTGAGACCAAGAGTCCTTACAGGAGTCCACTGAACACTGATATGGCTAGATAAAATTAATGTTTCCATTCAGTCCATTTCCTGGAAGTCAGGCTGCAAACTCCAGTAGTATCCATAAAGAATAACCAGGGCCTTTTATGATCATGGTGACGAAAAACCTAGAAGCCTTTTTTTAAGATACTGTAACTATTCAAATAGAGGATTCTTGATTAGCTGCATGTGACATCACAGGGGGGTTGCTATGAAAAGAAAATTACTATTCACTCATTTCAAACTCATTACTT